CTCCCAAATAATAAACTTTTTTGAACAAGTAAAATGTGCATATAAAATGATTTACGCGTTTCAACAATAAGCCTTAGTCATAGCCAATGGCCATGACGTTTTTGGGTCTCCTAACACATTAAATTTTGAAAAAATTGACATGATGGATTTTTTTAATTTCTACAGCTCTGAGATGGACAAGTAGAACATGTGTATTATTGCCTTGCAATGCATGTGTTAAAACAAAACAGTGTAAATGGGCCCCAAATCAAATTAGTTACTGTAGGACAATACTGATAATCCTTTTAAGGGCCAGTTGCTGCTGATTCCTGCGCAGTACTGCATTCCTTTGCAGTACTTTTTTGCAGCTCATTCATTTGGATGGGCTGCAAATTGCACTGGAATGAATGGAAAATAGTGCATGCACTACTTTTGATTAATGCGCCATACCAAATTGCATGGTACTGTGGTATCATGCGATCTGGTGTCCACAAACGCATTGCTTTTGCGATCTGCGTTTGGGGTGTCATTAACAATGTATTGGCACTCGCAGTAGATCGCAAAGGCAGTGCATTTTAAATGCAGTGTGGAAAAACGGAATACACCTTTCCTGAACTGCGTTCTGGTGTGAACGGCCCTAACATATATTGTAAGTAGCAGGGGCAGACTGACCATTTGAGCACTCGGGCACTGGCTGAGGGCCCGGGGTCAGTAGGGGGCCCCATGAAATGCCCCTGGCACTTTTATAGGCTATTTTGGGTGTGCTTTGAGTGTGGGCAGCAGGGGCGGACTGACCATTTGGAAACTCGGGCACTGCCCGAGGGCCCGGGGTCAGTAGGGGGCCCCAGGATGCCCCTGGTACCTTTTTCATAGGCTTTTTTGAGTTTTGGCAAGGACACAGGGGCCCCGTGAGTTGTCAGTCCGCCCCTGATAAGTAGTGTCTCAGTAGCAGCCAATTAGACTCAAACATTGGGGTTAATTTACTAAAACTGGAGAGTGCAAAATCTGGTATAGCTGTGCATGGTAGCCAATCAGATTCTAACTTCAGTTTGTTCAATTAAGCTTTGGCAATAAAACCTGGAAGCTGATTGGTTTCTATGCAGAGCGGAACCAGATTTTGCATTCTCCAGTTTTAGTAAACCAAACCCACTGTGTTGTCGGATACAGGTTTGAATCAAATATAACACACATATAGAGACATAAAGAGAGATATAAATAAAGCCCTATATGAAATGGAATTTACTGACAGATGGTCCATGTGTGCCTTTGACTCCGTGACTATTTAAAGTGAGCCTGTCAGGACTGATGTATGGATGCTGCCATTGCTGACTTGGTTGAAGACACAAGCATTCCTGCCCTTTCATCGCCATGCTTGTTTTAGTACCAGACACTGAACCAGAAAAAGCGTGCACCAATGAAGTGTCGGAATGCCCAATATGTACCACAATTGTTGCACATCACTGGATAACAAAGCAGTAAATGGAGGAGAAAACTGGCCATACACCCACGGATTTTTTTCATTCAGTCTGTGGGCTGAACGAAATGAATATACCAGATTCCTCCATCCATGCTATAAAGCATTGATGAATGAATCTCCCATTGTACATATTGTATTATGACAACTAATGCCACCACCTGTCAGAATACCCACCCAGTACCTGCATCTTACTGCATGCAGGAGCTGTTTGACCAACAATTTTTTCTACTTGGCTCCTTTGATTTTTTTAGTGTCAGGTGGGAGACAGCCAACAGGGCCATCCACTAATCAAATTTCAAATTTGCTCAGTGTATGGCCAGCTTAAAGATGACAGCTGGTTAGCAGTCATATTAACCTCTTCCCACTCACCCACCTGGCATCCCTTTAAAAAGTTTGGAGCACTGGCAAGGGTGAGCTGGATTGTCGAATATGTAACTATTGATCACATAATCGGAAGCCGGCCCAACCAGCTACTGATCCGTAGCCCAGACCTGTGACAGCTCGGTCTTTGTGCTGAAAGAGCAGCACATAACCAATGGCTACTCAGCGACACATATGTGTGGCATGTGGGCATTAAAGCCCATCATTTTACCACCGCACATGTATGTCTGCTGGTCATAAAGGGACTAAAAAAGGAATCAGCACTGGCCGCTCCCTTTGCTCTCCCAGTGAGAAAACTCATATCATAAATCATCTTCTGATGCATAATTCAAGGATGATTCACCCACTAGATTCTACAACAACCTGATATAGGCAGTGAGAGGAGATTTACTAAAACTGGAGCATGCAAAGTCTGGTTCAGCTGTGCATGGTAGCCAATCAGCTTCTAACTTCAGCTTGTTCAATTAAACTTTGAAAATAAAACCTGGAAGCTGATTGGTTTCTATGCAGCTCTGCACCTGATTTTGCACGCTCCAGTTTTAGTAAATCCTCCCCAATGAGTGCCTAACCAGCTGTCTCACCATACCCCTTCTAATGTATACAGTGGGACTTGTGGTTCCTGAAAATGTTAGAAGCCTGATTTAATGTCAAATCCTCCAGAAACCCTACAATGACCATGTGTCCCTTGTATCTTCTACATTGAACTCTCTCTGGTTAATTGCACTGTAGACTTTGGAAGATATTTGTTTTTGAGCAAATGTGATATCTTTATTTCCCCTTGGGGTCCCTTCAGCTGAATTTTTAGCTGGCCCTTTGTAGTAGTCAAGTGGTGTTTTGTCATATCTCATCCCAGCTGAGAGCACGTCTGAACCTCTCATGTTTCCTTCTGTCTGTTGCACAGTGTCAGCAGCTGAGCATGTGGTTAGAAAATGTGACAAAACTGGGAAATGGGAGTAACATCAGTTTTCCCCCTCTCCTTATTTACCATTACCATATAGTTTACAAAACTGGAGATCCTCGCTCATTTTCATGACAATGGCAATTTGCAGGACCCATGTCAACCAGATTTCAATTTGCAGCAGTTGAATCGAGGATGAATTCTGATTGGTTGTTATACAGTAGGTAACTGCCCTTTGTAACGAATTATTGTTTTTTTACAAGAGATTGAACTAGAGGAGGGCAGCGTTGGCAAATGCCAAGGTTGTTGATGAGACAGAAGGAGTTTTATTACATAGTAAAACAAAATTAACATGAAAAAATGCAATGTGCACGTGTCTGTACAGCTAAAGAATTAATTGCCATTGGGTTACTTACCCCCAAAGCCCAATGATGTGCTAATGTTTGTTTTTCACACCCTACTACCATTGCTAAAAAATACATGTTGATCCTGGCAGTTTCATCATCCTGGCTTGGAGTGACAACACTATCCATAGGCATATTGCTGTATCAGTGTTGTCACCCTGGCATGCCACACCTAGTTTAATGCATACACCGTGCACCTTCTGTCCCATACTCAGCAGCCCACACTGACAATCATATGTGATTAAGATCTAGGTATGTGGCTAAAGAGGAGCTTTACTACCTCCCTATATGTTTTTGTTTTTCTTCAGTTTTGCCTCAACTGTTGGTTGTCCTCAAAAAACAAACTCACATGAGCAGCGAATCCATCGTCTGGTGTAACCTGCTGCTCTACCACCATCTCTTGTGCGCCTGTACACCCATAACTTTGCCTGGTGCATTGGCAATGTGCTAGATATTGTACTGAAGTACCTTGGGATGGGTGACGTGAGCATCCCAGGAGGCTTTGGAAATAGAGTTGGACATCATTCTCATCTAGGTGAGAAAGTTGGAGGAGAGGGCTGGAACCTTGTAAAAAAAAAACTTTTTTTATATTTTTTAACATCCAAATGTGTAACCAAAGAAAAGGGGAAGAAAAAATATCCAAAGTGCTAAAAAAGGTTGAAGGTTGGCTTTAACAACTTAGTTGCACAATTACAATTGATTTTATTAAACTATTTTGTGTAACGGCTCATACAAAAATGAAATGCAGACTAAGAATGTTTTCAAATTTGCTAAGAGTGCTTGTGTCTTTTGGGTGTGACTTGAAAAGGGATTTTATTTAATTTCTCTACACCCAGAATGAAAAATTCCTAGGTACACTAATGATCTTTGTAGTGCTGTATGCTGGCTGTGGTCAGGGTCAAAAACCCTAGTTACCCTCTGTTCTTTGCACTGTCATACTGAATGGGCCTTTGTTCGATGCTGGAGAGTGTGCCCTTAGTAACTGTCAAAAACACAAGAATTTTTATATGGTACTTTGATACAAAGAAACATAGAAGAATGATGGTAGCAAAACACCAAATGGTTCATCAAGTCTGTCCCATGTATATATACACACACTATATTGCCAAAAGTATTGGGACGCCTGCCTTTACAAGCACATGAACTTTAATTGGAATCCAAATCTTAGTCCGTAGGATTCAATATTTAGTTGGTGCACCCTTTGCAGCTATAACAGCTCCAATTCTTCTGGGAAGGCTATCCACAAAGTTTAGGAGTGTGTCTATGGAAATGTTTGACCATTCTTCCAGAAGCACATTTGTGAGGTCAGGCACTAATGTTGGACGAGAAGGCCTGGCTCACAGTCTACGCTCTAGTTCATCTCAAAGGTGTTCTATCGGGTTGAGGTCAGGACTCTGTTTAGGCCAGTCAGGTTCCCCTACCCCAAACTCGCTCATCCATGTCTTTATGGACCTTGCTTTGTGCACTGGTGCGCAGTCATGTTGGAACAGGAAGGGGCCATCCCCAAACTGTTCCCACAAAGTTGGGAGCATGAAATTGTCCAAAATGTCTTCGTATGCTGACACTTTACGAGTATCTTTTACTGGAACTAAGGGGACAAGCCAAACCCCTGAGAAACAACCCCACACCATAATCCCTCCTCCACAAACTTTACACTTGGCACAATGCAGTCAAGCAAGTACCGTTCTCCTTACAACCGCCAAACCCAGACACGTCCATCGGATTGCCAGACAGAGAAGCGTGATTCGTCACTCCAGAGAACACGTTTCCACTGCTCTAGAGTCCAGTGGTGGTGTGCTTTATGCCACTGCATCTGACACTTTGCATTGCACTTGGTGATGTAAGGCTTGGATGCAGCTGCTTGGCCATGGAAACCCATTCCATGAAGTTCTATACGCACTGTTGTAATCTGAAGGCCATACAAAGTTTGGAGGTCTTTAGCTATTGACACTTAGCGACTTCAGCGCACTGTATGCTTCAGCATGCGCTGACCCCACTCTGTCCTTTTTACGTGACCTTCCACTTGCTGGCTGAGTTGCTGTTGTTCCCAGTTGCTATAATACCACTAACAGTTGACCGTGGAATATTTAGTAGCAAGGAAATGTCACGGATGGACTTATTGCACAGGTGGCAACCTATCACAGTACCATGCTTGAATTCACTGAGCTCCTGAGAGCGACCCATTCTTTCACAAATGTTTGTAGAAGCAGTCTGAATGCCTAGGTGCTTGATTTTATACACCTGTGGCCATGGAGGTGATTGGAACACCTGAATCCAATGATTTGGAAGGGTGTCCCAATTATATTTATTTTATTTTTTTTTGTGGGGGGGGGAGCTGAATATAGATCTACAGATCGGCTTCTGTATAACCAGTTTGTTGTATAACCAGCATGTTGGAAGATTTCAGCCCACTATAGCTAGCAGTGCTGACCAGTGTATTCTGACAGCGGGGAAGTCTCCTCGAACGTGTTGATGGGAAAACTGGGTAATTTGTTTTTTCTTTCAACCTGCTGGGTGAATGAAAATAAATGACTAATGTATAGGCACTGCCTTACTTTTGATTGGCTCATTTCCTTTGCTGGAAGTCTTTTCAAAGCGTGATTCCTTTTAGCTAAAGATTTGGGCTTTTTTGGTTTGACTTGTCCTTCCCAAAGACAGCAGAAGACTAACAATACCACTATTTTATGTGATATTGGAGGAGTTTTTAGATTGTAGTCACCTTATTGCCATATACAGGCTTCCTGGGTGCAGCTGTTTGCAACCACCTGTGATCCAGCCACAGAAACGGGCAGATTCTTGACATTGAAATCTGATGATGGCCTTATGCGGAAGTATAAATGAGGCCTAACACTTTAAGGTAGTTATTAACCCTTGCAAAGATCCCAGTATTTCCTTCATCTGCCTTTCACTCCAGAAAGAAGACACCATCTTTGTTCCGGCATCATCCAGGGTCAGCATCTAGCTTGAGAATTTAGAGCTGGCTCAGAGATAAATCCTGCTTCCTTTGTATTTCTTGGCTTGTGTTCACAGATGTCCGATACAAATCAGCCCCCTGCAGCAGCCTGTCACACTATGACTTCCCACAAGGTTACAAAGTTTAAGCCTGATCTGAGGAGTGAGGACTAAGGACATGCTTCTCCCTGCCTGCAGCAGACCAATGGGATCTCAGCCTAAGCCAAGTCACTAGACTGGCCCTAAGGACTTTTTTTTAATGATACAGATATTTTTGTACTATTGCTGTATATTGTGACATAACAGAAATGTAATTTTGTAAAATGTAAAATTAAGGTAAAAAAAACTTTAGCCTTTACAACTTTAAATACCTCTGTCCCTTACAGGTACTATTCATCAGGTTAACATCCTTACTGGGATGGATAAATAAAGAGCAATAGAAATGCTGAGCCTGGAATACTTATCTTTCCTGATTGCTGTGCAAGTTCCTTCTAGCACTTCATGTAAGCAAAAGCCAAGGCCTTTAGTCACCTGATGTCTGCTAAGGCTGGATCAACCAGTCTAAATTCAGATCCTTCTCTTTAGCCGAGATCATGTGACCACATGGCTAACTTTTGGCTAGTGCAATAAGTACGAGGGAAACATCAGCAGCATTTTCACCAGGAAATGTGAATATTTCAGTCCTTCCATTAAATTTTTTTGTCCACCCAAGCCAGACTGTTATATAGGTTTGCGCTAAAGATCTATTTAACTAAGACAGTTAAAGAGTTACTAAACCCATGATCCTGCATTTACTATATCTGGTTTCCCACAGTACACAGAACATGGAAATGCAATTATTTTAGCAACTAAAAACTGCTAAATACCTTTTCTCATCAGCAGTATATAGCAGTCTTGTGACTTCTCAATGTCTGGTCGAACACTGGTTAAAGCCTGTTGGAGGAGTTTTCATTCTCCTCTGACTGTCCTATGAGATCCCTGCATGTCCCCTAATCCTGTGTCTGAACAGTGCTGATTGGGCCTATGCTGATCACCCTCCCAAAAAAACAAAAATAAAACTCTCCAAACTGAGCATGTGCAGAGTGCCTCCTAGGGCTCTGTACGATCAGCAGATGGATTGGGGACAGTGGAAGAAGGGGATGACCAGAGAAGGCAAGATCAAACAGCCTTTTTATACAATATGGAGGATTAACCCCTTAGGTTCCACTGTGAGTGTAACAAGCATGCTTTACTGCATATACAGACTGGTTTTACTGTTATGGGTTTAGTACCATTTTAAGTGTTGGGAAATGCTGGATTAACTATAAGGAATACTACAGAAAGTTTAAAAGTGAAATGGGGCTTTACATCTGTTTAAATGTCCCTCTAGGAAGAGAAAAAGCTAAAAAAAACACACACAAAGAACATGAAAGAGATGATTTTAACTTGATCTTTAGCAAGTCAATCCCTTAGTGAATTGAGTTATGGAAGGAAGGAAACAGAAGAAGAACTGGTGATAACACGATTTGTACACTGAAAGCAAGATGGGAAAATGGAAAACTAAAATTTCTGTAGATAAAACTGATCTAAAGATGAATGATTTGTAAAAAGCCATCCCTACCAAGACCGTATAATTAATTTTATGGAAAAGATGCATGTCCACACTGCGTTCTTTTGCTTAAATGTTCTGAAAAGATGGAACATGGTTACCTTTTCTGTGGTATTTAAGGACAAGAACATAAGTAACAGGGGAACAAATTACAGGATATCTGCAAGCAAGTGATAATTAAATTGTTAATGGCCTTCTTTATTATATTCAGTTATAATTCCAGCCAAAACACTTATTTAGATTTTTATAGAATGAAGGGTTACAACCTCTAGGATTTCTTTTTTTGTGTTTGGTGTCCCTGATGTTCCTCATTTCCTGCTCAGGAGACACAACAGAAAGTAAAAGGAAATCTCCCCAGTGTAAAGGGAAAGACCCTCTTTTGACAGCTGTCACCAGAATGGGCGTCCTCATTGGGAGATTTCCTCTCTCCTCCTGTTCTAGTGACAACCAAATATTTTAAGATTCCCTCTACTTTCTTTTTCAATGATAGCGATCATCTGGTCAGAAAGTAAGAAACATGGCCATTTGCTTCCCTGAGCAGTGCACCTGTGCCTACAGTCAGCCTTTCTCAATCTTTTTTTCCTAGAGGAACCCATAAACTAATGTAAGGTCTTGGGGAAACCCTTCAAAAAAATAAATTATCAGCAGTCAGTGGAAAGAATGCCCCTTACATTGGTAGTCAGTGGGAAGATGTCCCTTAGTATTATTGGGAAGAATGCCCCTTACATTAGGTGGGAAGAATGCCCCTTACATTGGTAGTCATTGGGAAGATGTCCCTTACATTGGTGTTCATTGGTAAGAATGCTCCTTACATTGGTAGTCAGTGGGAAGATCTCCCTTACGTGGTGGTCAGAAGAATGCCACTTACATTGGTAGTCATTGGGAAGATGCCACTTACATTGGTGGTCATTGGGAAGATGTCCCTTACATTGGTGGTCATTGGGAAGAATGCCCCTTACATTGGTAGTCAGTGGGAAAATGTCCCTTACATTGGTGGCCATTGGAGAGATTGCCACTTACATTGGTAGTCAGTGAGAAGATGTCCCTTACTTTGGTAGCCATTGGGAAGAATTCCCCTTACATTTGTAGTCAGTTGGAAGATGTCCTTTACAGTGGTGGTCAGGATAATCATCTTTTCAATCAGCTAACAAGATCGTTGGTATCATGCCTCTGGCACTGCTAAGTAGCATTGGTTCCCGAATCTTTGCAGGCACCATCAGATGGGAGGTCAATCAGCCACAGCTCAAAGAGCCTCTAGCAACCTTTGCAAGAATCCCCCCTATGGCTGTATGACTGAGAATGGCTGCTCTGAGCAGTACCCTGTAGAAATCCCACCAACCAGCCCTTTATATAAGTTATGGTAGGACTTTTGATGTAACTGCATTGATAGACTTTCCACTGTACTGGTATTAATAAGCTGTGAAGTCAGATTTCTGTAGAATTACTGCTGCTTATAAAATCTAACGATAGTGAGCCCTAGCAAAAGTGTCTAATGTAGGCCTGGTAAATAAAAAGAAAAAATGCAAATTGAATGTACTAATTCTGCAAAGGGCTGCATAGCACCTATCGAGAACTGCAACTACTGACTTTAAAAAAGGTGCCAATTCAGATTGTTGATATAGGTGAAACAGACACATACACTGCAAAAATACATTTATGTGAAAAGTTTTTTTTTTCCAAAGGATTGTTATTCTTTTCAGAGTCTGTTGATTTACATACTTCTACCATGCTGCATAGCTTGGAAGATTATTCTGCTGCTTCCTTCAGCTTTCTGGAACATCTATATGTTATTTGGACAGAAATGGTGATGATGATGATGATGATGATGACTGATTGTCCAATGATAAAGTTGGTAGAGTAGAGGTAATGTTTAGTGTTGTCGCCTGCTTTGGGTATGCAGGGTGAAAGTGATGTTTGAATCACAAGACAGGCTGAACAGGACATTTTGGCTGACAAAGCAGTTCTCATATGTGTTTTTAAAGGATAGGTACACCTTTAGGAATATGCTACAAGTTACACCCATATTTAGGGAAAATGTTGCTATGCACCAGCCCCCCTGACCCCCTGAGTCCCCCTGTAACAATGAGCAGGGGGTCCTCTCAACCACAGTCTTTGTCACATTTAACGTGGTGTAATACATCTCGGATCTTCCATCTTGGCAGACGGACTTGTAATTCTTAGTGGACTACGAAGATGCTGATCAGCACCCTCTTAGATACTTCCTGCAGGTTAGTAACTGACAACCCATACGGAGGTACGGCCAGAGAGCTGTAGGAAGTGTCTGCAGGAGCCTGGCATTAACCGTGGGTACAATGCTTTGCAGGCTCCTGTGAAAAAAAATAATACATGCATATTTTTATCAACAGCAAAAACGTGGGAAGTTATTATTTTTAGAAACATGAAACCTTCCATTGTTATTAAGGTGCTTATTATTGTGCTGTCATCCTTATTCTTTCTTCCCTGCTTTGGTGGGCCACTGACCTGGAACAAGTTTTCCAACACTTGATGGTCAATCAGGTCAGGTGCTTGTCCTAGGTATGGGACCCCCCACGTAGGGACAAAAGGATAAAGATGACAGCCCTAGAGCATGCATCTTCAAACCTATGTTATTTGTGGTATCCTGACAGATTCTTTATATGCTTCTATCCAAATGAGTTCCTTTTAACCTAAACACAATACTAAAACATAAGACAACACATAACGACAACAATAACACAATCCAGTTTTGTTTTTGGGGAACAGCAACAATCTCAGGTTTGGGTCCCATGCATGACCACCTGGCTTCCATTCTTGTTGTAAAAATAGATTGGGAAGGTTAGAAAACGTCCAATGATAATTGGGTCAAGAAGCATTTGCCAGTGCATGTCTTCTCACTCCCCCTATGATATAAACACAACAAAGTGTTTGCTTGAACCAGAAGGTCATGTGCCTCTAAATCTACCTTTAGTCTGAAGCAGGATCTGCGTTCAGATCATGCTTCAGGCTCGGTTCACACTATTGCAGGCCAGGTGGCTCACATTTGCTTGGGCATGGCATCCATTAATTTAAATGTGCTGTTGTGCCCATGGATCTTGCACAAAAAAGGTGTATGCACCTTTTTAAAAATGGCTGGGGGAAACTGCATGGTCTTTTTGACCATGCCATTTCCATGCGGTCCCCACACCTGCAATTCTGCTGAGATGGCAGAAGAATTCCATTCCAATTCCATTCAGAATGAATGGCAACCTCGCACATCTTATAAGAGCAGTGCAATTCGGCTATGGGTGGTTTTGGGTGCTAGAACAGATACGATTCCCCCACCCGCAACCAGCCCGCATAGGGTAAACCAGGGCTCAGAAGTGATTGACAGGCACGAAGGAAGCAATGTGTTCCCCCTCACTGCCTGTTTTAACCCTATTTTTGCTGACAAACAGTGAACGTGGTTGGGGGGCATTTGTAGCGTTTTGCCAGTGTTTTGAATGCAGGGGCGGACTGACCATTTGGAAACTCGGGCACTGCCCGAGGGCCCGGGGTCAGTAGGGGGCCCCATGAGATGCCCCTGGTACCTTTTTCATAGGCTTTTTTGAGTTTGGGCAAGGACACAGGGGCCCCATGATCCCCTATTGCCCGGGGGCCCTATGAGTTGTCAGTCTGCCCCTGTTTGAATGTGTCGTGTTTGCCAGGTTTGTCGCCCACCAATTGCTATATGTTTAGTAGATTTTGCCACAGACATGGCCGCAGCATGTAAACACAGTTGCCTATCGCAGCATTTTTACTGTCCCTCCAACCGCGCAATGAGGCCTAGTCTCTTATATCTCAACTGATCTCATGATTTTTTTTGCCAATGTTCATCTTTATGAGCTACAGAACAGTTTGTTAGATGGTTGTGGCTCTTTGCTGTTTCTTAGATAGACCTTTATTGGTGACTTGGATTGTCTTGACCATGCATGAAATTTGCAGATCCTGACTTGGCTGTGAATTTCGACTACTTGGTTGCTGTCTGCTCTGGTTTCCCAATGTGTTGGCTATACACTTCTGTTGCATACTTTGAAACATCTAGTTCTTGCTAGGTTATAACTCTACTAGATTACTGTCTACTGTCTGTCAACTCACTGGTTACTTCTCAGTCTCATCTAGTCTCTGGATTGTTGGTCCACCCACTAGCGATAATTTGCCCTTGTATGCTATGGAAAACCCTCCTTTATAATCTGCTGAGGACACCAAAATTCCAGGGAACATATATAATACATCCTTGAAGGTGGGCTGCAAAAACACTGCGGGGAGCCTGGAATGTGATCACAGTGTTGCCTATATTCATAACAATGTGGGTAAAGAATATGAAGGATATTTCAGTGGATCATATCATTTTTCAAATGGTGTGCATGATCTAAAGGCCATACCTGGAGTTCCAGGGCTTGGACCAATGTAACTATGCATATCCACTATAATGTACAGCGCTGAGCAAACTTTCTAGCGCTATATAAATACTGTATAATAATAATAATAATATACCATGTCTGTGGAACTCCTCTACAAGCTGGAAATCACTGTAGTAGACACTGCTACTCCAGTGGCTGCCACTAGTCTCCGTGTCCCATTCTAAGAGACTGCCCTGTTGCAGTCTGCATGGGTACCATCCAAATGCTTTGCGTTTTCTCAGTGAATGAAAAACATTCTCAGATTCAAGGGTGCTCAACCCTTTGAAGAGTGAAGGCCACTTAAGTGATTTGGTAACTGGTCGTGAGCCACAGTGAAATTAAATGGTTCCGAATTTTAATGTGTTTTTATTTTGAAAAGCATAACAAACATTTATCTCCTGCAGCTGCTGAATGCCAGCAGGATGAAAAGGAGGAGAAACCAGATTTCAGCAGTTGCAGGAGGAAAATGGAGAGAATCAATTTCCATATATGTCGCCCACACCATCGCTCGTGTCCAAGTGTGAGAGGGAGGCCACATGCACCCCATGGGGCAGGGTCACCATTGCAACCCCTGGTGCTAAATCAGTGGTTGGGGGTGTGTGGTAAAAACACATCTCAACTATGGGGTTTTACTGCCACCAAAATGCAAATGTAGGCTTGACCTTGCTGTCCTGAGCTGCTTATAAGGCTGCTTTCACATTGATATGCTGCTGTTTATCTGCCCTGTGGGTGCAGCGAAGAGCACCTGCAGCCTGCCTGTGGGTTAGTTGCACTGTGCCATAGACTTCTATTATATTTTGCAGGTGCACTTCTTGAAAGAGCACTAAAACTCCTGCATTTACTTTGAGGTTGAGGGCCACATCAGAGGGCTCCAAGGGTCACATGTGGCCCATGGGCCACAGGTTGGGCACCCCTGCTCTAACTGGACGAGGTAGAAAAGGTGGGACAGTGTTTGTCACACTCTCCACCTCGTCCAATTAGAGAATGCTTTGCATTCATTGAGAAAATACAAAGCATTCTCTGAATAGTGCCCTAGCCAAACGGCTGACCTCCTGTGTTCACTAAGTAGCAGGGCAGCTGTTTGGCCAGAAGCTAGTGGAGACAATTGCTGTACTGGTGTCTACTACAGTGATTTCCAGCACCTACAGGGATCCCACAGGTATAGTATGTGCATAGTTACATTGGACCAATATAAGTATGTAAAAATGTACTGTATTCATGGAGAAGCAATGTTGGCACCCTAGGACAGAGAGAGAGAATGAACTGGGAACAATGCTAACTGAAAATGTATTATGTCCTATAAATTCTAGCAGAAAAAACTGGTATACTTTGTGTACTTATCGAACAGATATATCACAATGCTTTCAATGGCATATTTAATAGATCAAAATACAGCAAATAAGAGAAGTTCATAGTTAGGGTGTGCATGCACATTAGGGGAAACAAGTGAAGACAATAGGATATGTGATAAAATATCGTTTTTAGTCATGCAACTATTTTTTAAAGTAACAGGATGATTCAATATTTCCTTCCCATTCGGCATAAAAACACATCACACAGTCCATAGTAACAGGACAGCTGGTGAGAACGGTTGCCCAGTTTGTAGAGAGAACAAACATAAATTAGGAGATATACTTCCTTCTCTCTTGTTCCTTTTAGATTGTAAGCTCTCACCAGCAGGGCCCTCTTATCCTCATGCCTAGATATGTATTGTAACTGTG